GATTATATTAGAACAGAAAATAATATATTACTTGACATTTTTAATTATTAGATTGAGTGATCATTGGCTGTCTGTCTATGAGTCTGACACGTATGGTTCACGTACTGTAGTATGGTACGTGTGCTCTCGCCTGTCAGTACCGCTGCCTCACCAGTCTCCGTTGTGACTTCAATGCTTAGGAAATGTCTGTTTTTTATAATTCTTGTTAATGATCCCAGTCAACCAACAATAACTAATTATTTATGTTTGTACATTATAATAATAAGGTACGGTAGCCTTTCATTTGCTAATTTATAGTAAGGAAAATGCATTTGTTTCGGAGAATTCTTATTTTTATGATCCCAATATAAATAAAATCAGTAACAAAATTATTTCCTACCTTTATCTGTATAATCTCACATAATATGTCTTCGACCGTAGTAAATAACATGAAATAGTAAGGTTATGTGGCCCTCCATACCAACAGAGTCGTGACTAGTGGCCCTTTGGGAAAAAAGGTTGCACACCCCTGATCTATTTCTATATCAATATCTATCAATCTATCTATCTATCTATCTCTATGTATATGTATATGTGTGTATGTGTATATATATGCACATACACATACACATACACATATATATGTACACACACACACACACACACACACACACACACACACACACACACACACACACACACACACACACACACACACACACACACACACACACACACACATACACACACACATACACACACATACGCACACACACACACACACACACACACACACACACACACACACACACACACACACACACACACACACACACACACACACACACACGCACGCACACACACACACACACACGCACACGCACACATACATACATACATACACACACACACATACGCTCACACGCACGCTCGCACACACGCACACACACTCGCACACTCGCACACACACACACGCACGCACACACACACACGCACACGCACACGCACACACGTGCACACACACACACGTGCACACACACACACACGTGCACACACACACACACACACACACACACACACACACACACACACACACACACACACACACACACACACACACACACACACACACGCACATGCTTACAGTTTCCTGCTCTTGCGAAAGCATTCATTGCTGAAGGGAGTTTCCTTTCAGCTGCGAAGCACACCCCGCCTCAGAAGTGGACGACGATGGTCGCGATGTACAACAACGACATGGAGGGAGCACACGGACGCCCTTCCGACGAGGACATCCCCGAGCGCGACGTGCCTCCCTCGGTCTACGTCGCCGAAGACGAAGGACCAGCGAAGAGCGGTGGCCACGGCAGGGGCGATTCTGGCCACGGGGCGGCGATGGCCAGGGCGGAGGAGGGCGCGGACCACCCCAGGAACCCTACTGACGAAGACTCGACCTCGTATAGCGGCGCGACGGGTAGCAGTGAGGGCTTGGGGCACCGCGGTGGGGAGGACGACGCCGCCGGCTTCGTCGAGGGCGCTGCCGCAACAGGGGCGAGCGAACGAACAGCCGCGAATTCTGAAGCGGAACCCCCGCCGGGACACAACAGTGATGACAGTGCGTCTGATGACACTATCAGGGGGGCTGAGGACGGTGCTGCCAAGGGGAATGATGGAGATGAAAACAAGGAAAACGTTGACAATACTCTCAAGGAAAGTGACGAGGAGAGCGACACGGAGGGCAGCGAGGACGAGGATGCGGCCAGGGACGATGAAGGAGTTGAATGGCTGCTGAAGATCGACGACTTAGAGTTGTATAAGAAGGCCATGGTCCCGGAGCATTTCTACCTCCGGATCAGCAGTCCGAAAGTCCTGACTGAGGATCAGTTACGCCTGGCCCTCGACCGACTCCTCGGGTGAGCTCTTGCTAAGTCCTCATTTCATGTTGCATGAAACTGTGTGTGTGTGTGTGCGTATGTATGTATGTATGTATGTATGTATGTATGTGTGTGTGTGCGTGTGTGTATGTATATGTGTGTGGGAGCGTACGTGCAGGCATGCATATATGTATGTATGCATGGCTTGAGTAAATTCTAAAAAAAGTAAGTTTAGACTTTGGGGAGTTGTGTATATGCGTAAAAATATCCATTTCCGCTGTCTCAATCCACCCTCTCGCGTTTCTTACAAACTCATTACTTTTCAGGGAACTGAAGTGGCTGCGCCTCGGCTTGAAGCACCGACAGGGCGACTGCTGGATCTGTTATCTGCCGAAGGCCACGATGCAGGTTCGGGTGAGTTCCGTCTTGGGGAAGCTTCCCTTTCGAATTCTCAGTTGGTCATTTGTTTTGAGGCTGGCACAAACGTTTCCATGAATAGTATTTTAAGACCGGCTATGTTATAAAATTTGCTGAATATCATATCTAATTTTCATTATATATATATATATATATATATATATATATATATATATATATATATATATATATATATATATATATATATATATATATGTACAGGTATAAGCACAACAAGCACACAAACAGGTACAGACTGTTCTCATAATTGGTGAATTTCAGTTGTATTTTTCCGTTTCAGATCTGCAATGACGACAGCCTGGGTTACATCATGGAGGAGCCCCAACGCTCGCACTACTACCTACATAATGACCTTCTTTGCACTGTCCACATCCTTGCTGATCCTCAAGTGCCCAGAACTCGGGGTCGAAGAAGAGGCAAGAAAGCGAACAATAATAGTGCCGACAAAGGTGACAGTGCTAACATGCACAATAGAAACCCCATATGTGATTACAAATACCTCCTCCTCCTGGCTGGTCCTCCGCCTCTCCTAAACGAAGCTTCCGGTAGACTTATCAGTGACACCTTTGTAAAACACCTTAATGATGCCATAGAAGAGTCTGTTGCACAAGAACCGGCCGGACAAAGCCCCGGTTCCAGCACTGGTAGTGGGACGGATGCTAACTTGGACTCGCCCAGTGTTGCTCAAAATCCCTCTGGTCTGGATACTCTTAATAACGCTGGAGGTTCCACCGCTTCTGGAATTTCCTCTGATAACGGTAGTTCTGAAGTTTCCGCTGCCTCCGGAATTTCCTCTGAAAAAGGTAGTTCTGAAGTTTCTGTGATCACTCCTTTTGTTGATGAGAGTCCTAATGGCGGTGTCAGCAATAACGGTAGTTCTGAAGTCTCTGCTGCTTCTGGAAATTCCTCTGATAAAGGTAGTTCTGAGGTTTCTGTGAGTACTTCTGGAGTTCCCACTGCTTCTGGAAATTCCTCTGACAAAGGTAGTTCTGAGGTTTCTGTGAGTACTTCTGGAGTTCCCACTGCTTCTGGAATATCCTCTGACAAAGGTAGTTCTGAGGTTTCTGTGAACACTCTTGGAATTCCCACTGTCTCTGGAACTACCTCTGATAAAGGTAGTTCTCTGCTGCTTCTGGAAATTCCTCTGATAAAGGTAGTTCTGAAGTTTCTGTGAGCACTTCTGGAGTTCCCACTGCTTCTGGAAATTCCTCTGATAAAGGTAGTTCTGAGGTTTCTGTGAGTACTTCTGGAGTTCCCACTGCTTCTGGAAATTCCTCTGATAAAGGTAGTTCTGAGGTTTCTGTGAGTACTTCTGGAGTTCCCACTGCTTCTGGAAATTCCTCTGATAAAGGTAGTTCTGAGGTTTCTGTGAGTACTTCTGGAGTTCCCACTGCTTCTGGAAATTCCTCTGACAAAGGTAGTTCTGAGGTTTCTGTGAGTACTTCTGGAGTTCCCACTGCTTCTGGAATATCCTCTGACAAAGGTAGTTCTGAGGTTTCTTTGAGTACTTCTGGAGTTCCCACTGCTTCTGGAATATCCTCTGTCAAAGGTAGTTCTGAGGTTTCTGTGAACACTCTTGGAATTCCCACTGTCTCTGGAACTACCTCTGATAAAGGTAGTTCTGAAGTTTCTGTGAGCACTTCTTTTGGTACTGAAAGTCCTAAGGAAGGTGTCAGCAATACTGAAGTCCCCAGTGCGACTGGTGAGAGTTCTGCTGATGCTGATAGTGTTTTTAAACAAGATGAAAATAATCCCAGTGATACTGAAGTTTGCTCAGGTACCGAAAGCGTTAATGTTAGCTTAGATATCGGCAGTGCTACGGGTGCTTGCTCAAATAATGGTGATAAATCAGAAATATCTTTAAACGAAATACAACACATTAAGACTTTTCTTAGTGAATTTAAGAAGGATGTCAGTAACAACGATCTGAGATTTGGTGGAGAAAATGGTGAAGAAAATGAGGACGACGATACGTACGGGGGTGTTCGTAAATCCCTAGATTCGTGTGTTAGCAAGAATTTCTTAAATAGGTGTAAAGCAGGACGTGTCAGCTATTTCAATGCTTTTGTAGCGTGCGTGAATGCGGCCGCCATCAAGCTTTTGGTTGAAGCCGGGCTAGAGCCTGACCGAGAGGTCGTGCTTTTCCATAAAGTGAACGTACGCTTCCCCTGGCCTCGCCAGGAATGGTGGACGGACAGAGACGATGACGGCAACGAAGCCGATGGCGACGACGAGGACGACGACGATGAATATTCGTCCGGCCAAGAAAGGTCAGCTATTAAAGTGAGCACAGTTCCCAGCTCATGGCAGAATTACTTCTGGAAAACAGCCCAAACAGTAAACAGCAACCAGTGGGAAGCAGCAGAAATAGAGAAGCCTGAAGTGCCAAGGAAGATAAGACCTCCGAACGAGGAGGAAGTGGGCGAACAAGACGAAGGCCCCTGCGCCGCTGATATTCATTTATCCGTCCCGAACATAACCGAGATCTTCGAGTTTAGTGCACAGAGGCAGCTCTTCAAAGTAACTACCATTAGGAAGCTGACGTTCGTTCACCAATTCCTCATGACCTTCAACATCAACCTATATATTGACGCCGAGAGTGGAAATCTCGGTTTCTACCTCAATCATTCTACGGTGTTTAATTCTAGGGCCGTAAAGATCAGATTTGCCAAACTCATTTTGGCAGTTCTGAAAAGGTCCTTGCAGTTATGA